TTTAATGTTACAGCAGCTGTCAAAGTTGAAACCTGAACATCGTCACTGAGCAGTTTATATCAAATTCATACAATATGGTTTTGTCATACACTCTGGAGTCAAAATCATGCATCTGACAGTTGACTCATTGAGATTCTGAGTTGCAGATTGTCTTCATGAAGATCTCTTTACTGCAGATTTTACAGTTTAATTACTTGGAATCAAGTATTTCCCATGTGCTTAAAAATCTTTCTTTTTCCATTTCCTCTGTACCAGCTAACCAGTTCTCTTGCTGTTTTCAGTTTCCCATATGGATAACCCAGACAGTGAAGTAGTGCTGTACTTGATGCTACGGGCTGTAGATAGATTTCACAGACAGCATGGTAGATATCCAGGTATGTTAATGCCAGAGTTCCTTAACATGATAAAAAGAAATTTGAAGATCTAATAGTTACTATAATACTAGTTATAAACTACAAATACAGCATTCTTTGTAGTTTTGTTTCCACATTAATGTAGCTTCAAGAATGTGAAAATTCAAGTGCAACTTTTTTGTCTTTGTGAACTTAAGGAATTTATCTGAATTGGTACCACTGAAATGGGTTGCATGGATTATGAATGGGTTCAGCTATGCAGTAATTTGTCATTACAATGTGTAGCATCAACAGAATATTCAATTATTACTAGTCTATTAATAATTTAATATATTAATCAGCTGAGAAACTTTTCAGAAAAATAAAAAAGTTACACTGCCATTTAAACCCATGGACTTTGAATACGGTGTTACAGTTCTGTGATTAAACAGTTAACTTATTTTCCAGGTGTCTACAACTATCAGGTAGAAGATGATATTGGAAAACTAAAATCATGCCTTACTGGTTTCTTACAAGAACATGGGTTGTCTGTAGCAGTGAAAGATGACTATGTTCATGAGTTGTAAGTATTGTATCTTAAGTGTCACTTTGGTGAAACTGACCTGGAAATACTAACTGTTACTTTGCTATCCAGCTGTCGCTACGGAGCAGCTGAGCCCCATGCTATTGCTGCCTTCATGGGAGGTAAGAATTTCACTTGTGTTTCTAAGGTCCATACAAACCAACCAACCTGCTGCAGTACATACTCGAGTCAGAATCTACACTATTTTAATTGCTTTGCATTGTCAGAGCAAGGACTCCAATCACAGACTGTTGTCAAAGGTGGTATTAGAACAGACCCCTCCCTCTTCGTGCTCCAGATGTCACCTGCTATAGTGTATAGAAGAAGTGGACACAGCAAGGTTTTAAAGTCAGTGGAAGAAACCAAATAAACTTAAAAAGTAATCTCAGTGGATCAATTCTAGTAGCTGAAAAATGTATTTAAAGTGGAAGAGGCTTTGAGTTTAAAAAAAAGGAAAAAATTGTAATAATATTAAAATTAACACAGTACATGTCTTCCTTTAACACAATACACTTATGTGAAGTTTCTATTATATATAAATAGCCTTGATTGCTTACCTTATTTCAACCTGTGGGTATTATTAAAACTAAATATGTTTTAATGGGTACTCAAAATTGATCTATCAGTTGACTTTATTTGGCTTCATGCAGTGTTGAAGAGAATTCTGGATGTAGGGATTTTTTTTCTGATTGAGTGAAACTTGGTACGTGCAGTGCTTTAGAAAAATACAAATGTAATTTCTGAAGAAATTACAGAATATTTCATACTACAGGAGAACACAAAGGGATCACAGTGAAGCAACCCTTCAATTTATTTTGCAATTCAACTGTATGTGATTTTTTTAATTGAATTTCTCAGTTTCATTTCGAGAGATCACAACTTGCATGGGTCTGCTCACACATTTTTACTCAGGGTGTGTACATGTACATGGAGAGAGAAAGTATGTACAGCGAAGTGCATGTCAAGCTAATGTTTGAAGTAACAGCTTTCTGAGCCTCTTTTTATCCTGGGAAGTACTGAAAGGCATTTTTTGCTCCTAGGAGTTGTATCGGGCACTTCCCAAATAATTCCAGTGTAGTGAGTTCTAGATAAATAATATTCTTTTACTGTTTTTTAAATATGACCTGCTAACAACCTTCTGTTTTTTAGGGTTTTGTGTTTTATTGTTTGGTGGTTGTTTTTTTTTTTCTTTCACAGGAGCTGCTGCACAGGAGGTTATCAAAGTCATTACAGGGCAGTTTGTAATTTTCAATAACACCTATATTTACAGTGGAATGTCACAGACTTCAGCGACTTTCCAGCTGTAGGACAAGGATCTTGTGTTTGTTGCCACCAGGCGCTGCTGCTGTGTTCTGTAAATACCGTGGTGGTCTGCCACTGACTGGACTGTGCTGTATTACCTGAGAATTAAACATCTTTTTATTTGTAACGATTTTAGCTTTTTTTTTTTTCCTGCAGGACAAATAAAATCATACCAAATCCTGAAGTTTTTTTTTTTTAACTTGAATTTTCTGTTTCACCTTTTGAAAGAGAAAAGCAGCAGCTGTGCTGTGGCGTGGTAAGTTGCGTTTACAGCTCAATTTTTTTCACCCAAGCGGCCCTTCAGGCTGGGGGGCAGGGGGGGCAGCAAGGCTGAGGCAACTTCCAGGGGCTGCGGGGTCATCTCGCTGGGGAGGAGCTAGGCAGAGCGGTACCACCTCTCGTTCAGCTCCAGGTCGGTGGGGAGGGGGTTGGTTCTTCCAGCTGTGTTAACCTA